TCTTAGTGGTTATAGATTCTGGGTTTCAAATCCTGACTTTGTCATTTACTAGCTAAGTAATCTTGGATGAATCAATTGCTTGTTTTGTTTTTTTCATCTATAAAAATGACATTTGCAAAGGTTAAATCAGACATGAAAGCTAGAGTGCTCGGCACAATGTCCTCAATCAAATAGATGCTCTTTAAGAAGCATATTCCTACCACTAATCCTAACAAATGATACTAAGAATTTATATTCATTCACTTATTCTTCAAACAATTGGTGAATGTCTACTATGTGCCAGGCATGACTCTCGAACGCAGCAGTGAACAACACGCAGACAGTGCCTACAGACACAGGTCATAAACACGTCAGTCGGTGTGCAGCAGGTAGCCAGGGCCGTGCCGGCTACGCACTGGTGTGTGCTTGCACACGATAACAGGGCATTTCCACAAGATGGATCCAAGAGATGTGAACAACCTCAAGTGCATAGATAATTGTAAAGTCTAACCAAGTAATTAGGAAGCAATATGTTTTGACTATTTACTACCTTTTTCTGCTCTGTATTAAGTTATGATTGACATACAGCATGGTGTTAGTTTCAGGTGTGCAGCATGGAGATTTGGTATTTGTGTGGACTGCCCAGTGATCACCACAATAAGTCTGTTAATATCCATCACCCTACATAGCTGCACATTTTTTCTTGTGATGAGCACTTTTTACTACCTTTGTTTCTAGTATATTTTTAAAAGATTTTTAAAGTGCTATGAAGATAAAATAAACCAGGACCAGTGTGGTGGAGAGTGTCTGGGAGTGTGTCGAGGTGGAGGAGGGTGCGGGGCCATGTTCTAGAAGCTGCTCCGGGAAGCCTCTGGATAAGGTGCGACTGAAGCAGAAGTACCGAGAAAGCCACAGGGCTGTCTGGGGAAGGGCCTTCCAGAGGAAAGGAAGTTCAGATGCAGTGTCCCTGAGGAGGAAATGCAGGTATTTAAACCACAGTGGGGACAGTGTGGCTAGAACAGGGTAAGTGAGGGGGTTTGCTGACGACCAGTATAGAGGGAAGCCAGATCCTAAGGGCCCGAATGGCCATGGAAAGTTTTTAGGTTTATGATCAACAAGGAAAGAAGTCATAGGCTAGTTTCTATGAAGGAGTGATATGTCCAGCTTGGGCATTAGGAAATTTCATCTGATGACTGTGTTGATCATAGATTGCAGGGGAGCAAGGATGGAAAGGGAAGCTTTTGCCATCATCCTGGAAAAAGGATCATGGTCTAGTGAGGACTGGATAGATTCTGGATATATTTTTAAAGAGAGAACAGAGATGATCGTGCCTTGCAAGTGGAGATAGATGATCATGGCCTTGAGAGCCAGTCCCAGTCACGCAGATACCTGTGGGAATTAGAAAAGGGTTCTGGGCAGATGTTCACCTGCCATATGTTTGAGAAGCTGATGGCATCCCTGTGTGGTTAGCAAAAGGTGTCCCTTCTGCTCAGAAGATACCTCCCTGTAACAGGGCATGGCAAGGTTGGTGAAGGGGAGTATAGGGGTGGAAAGAGGCTATTGTTCAGCCTCTGTTGCCTCAATGTCCCAGGACTACAACCCTGGGATTAAGAAGGAACATAAAGATTACGCTCAAGTTTTGAGCCTGAGCAACTAGAAGAATAAAGTTGCCATTTACTGAGATGGAGAAGGCTGCAGGTAGAGCAGGTTTGGAAAGTGAAATTAGGAGTACAGTTAGGACCACTTCACACCAGTCAGAATGGCCATCATAACCAAACCAACAAACAGCAAGTGCTGGTGAGGTGGTGGAGAAAAGGGAATCCTAATGCCCTGTTGCTGGGAGTACAGATTGGTGCAGCCACTGTGGAAAACAGTGTGGAATTTTTTCAGAAAACTAAAAGTGGATCTGCCTTTTGACCCAGCAATTCTTCTGCTGGGATTATATCCTAAGAACCCTGAAACACCAATCCCAAAGAACCTATGCACCCCAATGTTCATAGCAGCACAATTTACAATAGCCAAATGCTGGAAGCAACCTAAATGCTCATCAGTAAATGAATGGATCAAAAAACTATGTTACATTTACATGATGGAATACTGCACAGCAGAAAGAAAGAAGGAGCCCCTACCCTTTGTGACAGCCTGGATGGATCTGGAGAGCATTATGCTGAGTGAAATAAGCCAGGCAGTGAAAGACAAATATCATATGATCTCACCTATAAGTGGAACCTAGTCAACAAAACAAGCAAGCAAGCAAAAATATAACCAGAGACATTGAAATTAAAAGCAAACTGACAATAACCAGAGGGGAGGTGGGAGGGGATAATGGGGGGACAGGGGAAAGGGTTGTCAGGAATATCTATAAAGGACATGTGGACAAAAGCAAAAAGGGTTAGAATCCAGGGTGGGAAGTGGAGCTGGCTGGGCTGGGGAGGACTGGTGGGGGGAAAATGAAGACAACTGTACTTGAACAACAATAAAAAATGTGAAAAAAAAAGAATACGGTCTGAGACATATTGGACTTAAGGTGGATATTAGACATTTAAGTAGAAATATCAGTAGGCAGTTGAATGTACAAGTCTAGAAGTAAAAGAGTTGGAACTGAAATAAATTTTTGGATTCATCAGTATATGAGTTCATGGTTTTTAATAAATATATTCAATGTGTAACATAATCACCATAATCATTCACAAAAATAATGTAATGAGAAAACTTTAAAACCACTCTCAGTACTTTTAATTTCTGTAATCTTTGTTATTCTTACTAAGATATACTCTGAAGAAAATATTTAAGTGATTTTTAAAAAGATAAGGTGAAAAAAGCCCATTTGTTCATTGCCTCTAATCTCTAGAGGTTAATGGTTTCTCTTGTAATCTTCTAAAATTTGCTATACATAACACAGTACCCATATATAGATATATGTATATCTGGATATATTTGGTTTTTGTATAAATGAGGTCGTGCTGTGGGTACTGTTTACAACGTAGGGTTTTTTATGTCAACTTTGTCAAATTGACTTAATCTATATTCCCACCAACAGAGTGTAAGATTGCTCCCTTCACTCTTCTTGACTAATACTGGACATGACTAAACTTAATCATTGCCAATCTTTAGTTTAAAAACAGTACCATGACAATATACATATTTTTCATATGTTTATTGACCTTTCATATTTCTTTTTCTGTGAACTGCCTTATTATGCCCTTTGTACGTTTTCCCACTTTTTCAAATGGCTTGGTAAGAGCTCTTTGTACAATAAGGAAATTAGTCTTTTTCTGTGCTAAACCTTTTTTCAAATAAATTATACCTTGAGTAATCACTGCAATAGAAAAATAAAAAGCACAAGAGGCAAAAGAGGGGACTTCAGCTGCTGAACACAGTGGGGGCAGGCTTTTCCTCTCTCCCTCTCTCTACCTCCCTCCTCCTCCTCGTCCCTTCTCTCCGTATTTTTATCCTTTTCTTTATTTCAATGTCCTTTGTCGTATGTGTACATATACATTTTTTACTTTCTAGATTTAATAAAAATCATCTTTCAGACTTTTGATTTTGTGGGGTTTTTTTGGTGTGATGAAGGCTCTTAACCTTAACATAGCATAGGACCTCAGAATAAGTCGGAACTTGGCACTGGTACATAGAACATATTTCTGTACTTTTTTCTATGTCTTCATTATAATCAATGAAGAAGTAAAGGAGAGAGGAGGAAGCATCAACTTTGTACAAGATATTATGCAAAGCCTGTACAGTTTATCTCTTTTCACCTTCCCTGGGCAGCACCTTTTATTGCTGTCATTTTATGGTTGAGGAAACAAACTAAGTGAAATTAGGAAACTCTCCGAGGGTCATGTGGTTAGAAATTAAAACGTTGAACTGTAATAAGCTCTACATGCCTCTGTTGAATTATGAAGCTCACATGTATTTAGTAACTTTTTCCTCCCAACTTAACAGAAGTCTCTTGAAAAAATACTCATATCAGTATGTTTAGGACTGAACTGACAGATATAAGAATGTATGCATTCAGCTACTAGTCTGTATTAGATTAGTAAATTGATAGATATAAATATAAAATGACATAATACATTTAGTGCCTTCAGGGCAAATTATTTGTCAGAAGACAGGATATATATACATATATATATATCCTCATATGTATTAGGTCTGTCCAGAAAAAGTCCAGCCATTGTTAATATAATGAGAATGGTTTGCATGACATTGAAGTAACGCAGCAGCCAAAGAGAGTGGACTGGAATGCACCTGCATGAACAATGACGACTTCACTGTACTAGTCAGTGGGGGCAGTGGACTAGTTCCGTGAGTGAGCATGTGTACTGTGTAGCCACCACATTCAAAATGACTGAGCAAGTAGAGCAATGAAACTGTGTCAGATTTTGCATTAAACTTGAACATTCCTCCGAGGAAAGTATACAGATGATTCAGAAGGCTGCAGCTATGGGCAACTGGTGATTGGCAGCTTCATCATGACAATGTGCCCGCTCATGCATCATGTCTCATACAGAGCTTTTTGGCCAATATCAAATCACACAGGTAACTCAGCTCCCTTCCAGCCTAGATTTGGCACCCTGTGACTTCTGGCTCTTCCCAAACCTAAAATCATTTTTTTGAAAGGGAAGAGATTTCATGCTTATTGATAAAATTCAGGAAAATACGACAGGGCAGCTGATGGCAATTGGGAAAACTGTGTGAGGTCCCAGGGTGCCTACTTTGAAGGGGACTGAGGTGTCATTGTCTCATGTTCAATGTTTCTTGTATCTTTTATCTTCTTCAATAAATGTCTCTTTTTCATATATGGCTGGATACCTTCTGGACAGGCCTCTTATAATTGTGAATTTCGTGTATTATGATTTTTCGGTCTAACTCTTTGGTTTTCTGTGTTTCCATAATTATCCCAACTGTCTTTCTGACGTGCTCTTTGGGGAGGTCTCCGTCTGTGACCTTGGAAGCTTTGGGTAGTTGTCAGACTGGAAGGCGAGCAAACCTTTGTGTCATTGGTTTCTTCTTTGCAGGCCTACAACGGGCACCATCAAGCCTTGGAAGTCCTTCTGCAGTCGCTGGTGGACCTGGATATCAGGGATGAGAAAGGCCGCACTGCTCTGGATCTGGCAGCCTTTAAGGGACACACAGAATGTGTGGAAGCACTTATCAACCAGGGCGCGTCCATCTTTGTGAAAGACAATGTAACCAAAAGAACCCCACTTCATGCCTCAGGTAGGCGTTGTCAAGAGTCTGGTTACCCTAGTTTTGTGGCCCACTTAAGTTTCAGTAAAAGAATGGCAGCAGCATCTTTTATCCCAATTTTAAAAATATTTTCTGTCTATACCAGATATGTCTACAGTCTTCCTAAATGCTTGGCTTACTATCCACTTTGAGAAGATTGGTGTTCTCTGGCCAGATGGGCTCTGACCATCTTTAAAGACTTTATTTATTTATTTATTTATTTTTAAGATTTTATTTATTTATCTTTAGAGGGGAAGGGAAGGAGGGAGGGAGAGAAATATCAATGTACGGTTGCCTCTCATGTGTCCCCTGCTGGGAACTGACCTGCAACCCAGGCATGTGCCCTGACTGGGAATCAAACTGTGATACTCTGGTTCGCAGGCCCGCGCTCAATCCACAGAGCTACACCAGCGGGGCTTTAAAGCCTTTATTTTTTTTAGAGCAGTTGTAAGTTCACAAGAAAGTTGAAGGGAAGGTACAAAGATTTCCCATACACCCTCTGACACCCCCCCCCCGTGTGCATAACCTCTTTCATTATCAACATCCCCACCAGTGTGGTACTTATGCTACAATTGATGAACCTACATTAACACATCATAATCATCCCAAGTCCATAGTTTACATGGGGTTCACTCCTGGTGTATATTCTGTGAATTGGGACAAATGTATAATGACATGTATACATTATTATAATATCATACAGAGTAAATCCATACTATAAATCCAGCCCCCAAAATTTCCTGTGCTCCATCTGGTCTTCTCCTTAACTTAACAGAGTGTTCAGAACCTTTGGCCACTGCAATCAGAATACTTTCTGAAAAAAAGGAGAAGGTGTAATGTGATCTTCAGATAAGTTACATAGAACAAAACCACACAGCATTTTAAAGCATAAAATTCATGGTATTTCAGTGCTGTTTTATAAAAGGAGTCATCAGACAGCAGTCTGATCAGTAGCACGTCATTCTGCCAGACTACATGATGCTTCTGAGCTACTGCTCTGAGTTGTGATGCATGGAGTGTAAATATAGAGACTCTTAAATAAAAGTGCTGGTATAGACCAAAAAGTAAGTAATTTGCCTTTTCTGGGATTTTTCTCTAGTGTACATAAAATAAAACTGTATCGAACATGGCCAGACATATGTGCAGATATAAAGGTAATGCAGAGAGTCTCTGGCTCAGCTAAGGCATGAATTTTGGGGGGATCAGGAATTACATGCTATCCACCTTTGATCAGGACAGTCAATCTTGTCTTATAGTGAGAAATAACTGTCTTACACCATTAGATTCATATATTGAGGAAGCAAAGGAGCGAAGATGGTTTTTCAGAAGACCTAATGATCTTGTTACTTGGGAAAATTTCCTCAGAGTGTTAGGCTTTGTAAAAGTATTTACATTCACATCCCTGAATTTCCAAAATGCTGAGGAAAAATAACGTGGAAATAGGAAAAACATGGCTGTTGTCTAATTACCTAGAAATCACTATTCCTGGAAAAAACTTAGGCCATGAGGTCAGCAGTGGTTTGTATGGTTTACACTATAAGTCTTTATTTCCCTGTGCATTTAGTCTTTTTGGTATTATTATCAAGTATTGTGAAATTTGATATTCTAGACATCCTTGGTATTATTCTAAAGTTCAATTTAGTTATTTTCATATATTGGTTGACTATTACTAAGGCAAGCCTCCTGCTTTAGTTATCAGGTACTTCCTGATAACTACAAATGGCCTATTTTCATTGTGGAAAATCGCTTTCGTAGACAGGTAAACAGTGAAAAATATTGTCACTTAGTTGCCACTGTATAGGTAATGGTCCAATGGAGCCCCCTAGTGGTCAAGAAGACTCACGCCTTTTGGATTTCCCTTACGTGGTCCGTTTAATAACACAGGCTATCATTTGACTCTGTTCTCCACAAAATGTCTGCTGTGTGGAAACTTTAGCCTGTGCTTGACAAATCTGCTTATCCAGAATCTTTTCCAGCTCACGTGAAAAGCCAACTCTTTTGTTGTTTCAAATCCTGGGAATCCTGCAGAGAGCGGGAGCCAACATGGGCATTAGAGGTTCTGGCACAGCTAGTTGCAGCCGCAGTTGTGGTCTTGGAGCAGCCTGAGAAATGGCTGCCACTCATAGTGAGGGGTGGCTGAGCTAGGCTGGGACAAAGCTGGACTTGGCAGAGCACGGCTGAGGAGATTGTTAGCATCTCTACTGGAGAAGGCAATTAGGAAAAATGGCGTCTGTGGGAAGCCAACAAGAATTGTAATGTGGCTACCCTTTTACAATAAGGGGGACTTATATGTATCTGAGGGCTGTAAGCTCAGTTCAAAAAGCTGCAGTACATTTCCTTCACACCACTCTCCCCAAGGAAAAAAACAAACCAAAAGCAGCACTACTGGAGAAACTGGTTTGATCTCCTGCACACTGGGTCAGTGATATGACCTAAGATGTCCCCCCCCATTTTTCTCTCTAGCCAAAAATCAAGTATTCTTGAAACTATTATGATTATGAGCATGTAAAGAATGTCAGATTGATATGGATGAGGCATCAGTCAAACTCCCCTGTACCTCCCTCCACTTAATGAGCCCATTTCCTGTGGCATTTAGCTGTCCATCCTCTGCTAATCATTTCCTTCTAAGCATACACTAAGCTGCTTGGAAGTAGTGGTTACCAGGTAACAGATTTAATGTACTATTTTAAACAAACAAACAAAAAACCAACAGCAACAACAATGTATTGCTTGTATTCCAGTCCCCCAAATTTCCTCCAGAGATACATAAATGGGATGTTGCTGACATTAGCCAAATGCAATGGTCTACAAAATGTGCACATTGTTCCTGTAGTTAATTTGAGTGGTGTCGATGAATGTGAGCTAATTCTAATATGTGTTGTCCCTGGAAAATGTGTCATTGCTAAATTAGCGTTCTCTCCTGACTGGCATGCAATAAAAAGGAGACCGTAAAATGCAGCTCATAGAAGAGCCTTCATTAACCTAAAGTAGCCGCATCTATTCCCTTCTGTCTCCACGTCCATAGTGAGGTAAATACAACGTATTTTATAGTGTTCTCATTGTTCAGAGAGGAGAGAAGGTCACCTTTGGAATCTCTATGTAAAGGCTGTGGGTTGCATTAAACAAACTGAAGGAAGTAGCTGCCCACCCACCCCCATCCCTACCCCCACCCCGCCCAGAACTGTCATCCTAGGAGGTCTGCTTCCCAGCGCCCAAAGCACCCACTGCTGAAAGGAGCACTGTGCCTGGTGCGCACACGGAGGCTTCCCTGTATTGCACCCCAGTGGGTCAAGGCCAATGACAGTGTTCTGGCCGCATCTCCTGCCCATTGCGAGCCCCCGTTATGTCCGCTGGATGATTAGGACTGAGGACTCCGCAGCACCTGGGAAGGGCAAGCAGCCTCAGGAGTCAGAGCTCTGCCGAGGAAGAGAGGGGAGGGCGGGGGACTGAGGGGATCCAGGACTGTGGGGCCAATGGAGAGAGGCCTCTCCCCTCCCCTCCCCCCAGCCTGCTTGAGACACAGTCAGGCAGAGGAACAACCGGCTGTGGTTTGCAGAACTCCGAGACAGAGGTGCAGCCGCAGGCAGCCGTCCAGGCTGTCAGTCAGTGAGCAATGAGCTGATGGCTGCTGGACACCTTCCCGGCTTGAGCGTTTGCTTTAAGTCACTGCTAATCGATCAGAATTGTTACTCCAAAGTCTACCTCCGAATGTACAATGACTGAGGGAAACAGAGGCAGGACCTGTTCACTCTATTCCTCCCCTGGTCTCTCCCCTCCCCTCCTCCCTCCTGCTGCACCTCGCCTCCTCTCCCCTGCCGTCCTATTCCTGCTCCCCTCTTCCCCCTCCTCTACCTTTCCCTGCCCCCTCCTCCTTCTTTTTAGAAAGATTTGAAGGCAAGCAGGACAAGGGATTGTGTGGCACTAGGTGACTCTGGGGAAGAAAAAAGGTAACTGGAAAGTGGGAAGGAATTATTCATTTTATTCCAAGAGGTTTAAAAAAAAAAAAAGGAATAATAACTCTGAGTACATGCACCAGGGAAAAGCGAGGTGAGGACCGACACGTCCGGATGGGAAGAAAGGGAAGAGGGTTAGTAACGTGAACGCTGGAGCGCACCGTGCCCGGCAGCTGGTGTGTGAGCTGGAAACCTGGGGGTGGCTGTCAGCAGCCGTCGGAAACGAATGGTTTGAAGTCCACCTGAACTTCACTTTGGAGAGATATGTATGACAGCGTTGGTCTGTTAAAAGAATGGCCATTATTTTCTCTTTCAGTAATTAATGGTCACACACTGTGTTTGCGGCTGTTGTTAGAAATTGCAGACAACCCAGAAGCAGTTGACGTGAAAGATGCCAAAGGACAGTAAGTGTTCTCACACTTGGCCTGCGGTGACGTTTCAGTCACAGCAGGCGACTGGTTAATTTGTTAAGCAGCTGGGAGGGCTGACTGCTGAATTTTAGGTTGGGGGTTGGGTGTGTGTTGGGGGTTGGGTGAAATTCATGGATGAGAACCCTAGAATAATGAGGTGACTTTGTGCTAGAGTATTTATTTGAAAGAAATGTATGCGGGCTGTTGTGTGTGTGCGTGTGTGTGTCTTGATGAAAAAGTGCCAACTATTTATGTCTGTGGCCATGGATCCTGGCCTTTTAAAAATAGGCCTCCTCCATTCCTTCTTTCCACTCCTTTTACCCTCTTTTGAAGCAGCTGCATTCCCATTTTAAAATTAACCATGGCGAGGACCTCAAGGAGTTATCTCAATCATAAAAATGCTTCACGTTTTTATCCTTCCTCGGGTTTGTTTTTCCAAAGTCTTTTCCATCTGTTAGCCCATTCCTACACCCAGTCTTCTCTTACAGATAGGAAATGCAGAGCAACAGAGCTATAGTGACTCACCCCAGATACGCTGAGTTTGTGTTCAAGTCAGAACTAGGACCCCTCCCCCCTCCTGGATTCCCCCACTGTTCTTTCCTCTAGATTTGTCAGACTTTTCTCTAAGGCAATAAAGCTTTGTTCAAATGCAAGACTGAACAAACGCCAATATAGAAAACCATGAAAGTAGAACTGCTCTAAGGGAAGCAGCATGCAAGGGAAGGGTCCCTTACAAACACACACTCCGTTCTCCATTGATGTTTAGTAAATGCTGGGTAGTTTCCAGCATGGTGAGATTAACATGAACATCTGGAGAAGGAACCTTTTTCTGCCCCACCCATATTAATCATTCCGCTGACAGCGTTCTGTGTGGCCATTAAACAGCAGAGGCAGATTGCTTATTCCAAAGGGCTCGTAGCACACTGGGGGCACTCAAAATATGAAGCAAGTCTCAAGAAGAGAGAGGTGCAGAGACAGAGTGACAGAGAGACGGAGAGAAGGAGGTCCTCCCGCTGGAAGTGATGAGGTTTTTTGGGTTTTGTTTTTATTTGTTTTATCTTTTAAAAAGCCCAATTCATCTGTCTCCCTAGAACCCCACTGATGCTTGCAGTGGCATATGGACATATTGATGCTGTTTCGTTGTTACTTGAAAAGGAAGCAAATGTGGATGCTGTTGACGTCATGGGGTGCACAGCCTTGCACAGAGGGGTGCGTAGACTTTCTCAGCTTTCGACTATCAGCAGCTTTGTAGTTAGCGGGTTTCTTTTCTTCCCCACAGGAGTCTTTAGTAAAACTGTTGTTTCCTAAGACGACCAATTAGCCTCAATCAGACTAGAAGAAATTATAAAATCTTAAGCAAAAGTAAGATAATGGCAGGTATTTTTAGGTCTTTTTCTTGAGATTTTGTATTAGATTGTGATGATAGATACATGAACTCCTACTATTGGAAGAATTGGTTCTGCTTTCTGATTATGAAATACACATCCTAGAAACTTTGCAAAACATTTTTTTAAAGCACAAAGGAGAAAATCACAATCACCAGTAATCCTGCCTCCTAGAGATAACAGTCGTTTTTTGGTTTAGATAACCAATCTTTTTTATTCAGCATATAGATTCATTTTAATTGTTTTTAGAAAGAGAATACTGAAGATACTATTTGGAAGCTATTTTTTTCTTTTAAAATACTAAGAACCTTTTTCCATGTGAGTAAATAGTTTCCTGCTCCATTATTTTGAATGGCCAGTTGTGATCAGGAGTCATCATTTGTTCCATGGATTAGCAGTTTTGAGTAGTCATGCTATTTCTAATTGCTTGTCATTAAACATGTTGGCCTGTTCCCCACCTGAAATATGTATCCTACTCATATATGTATATCCTGTGGATATTTCTCTGCACACATTCTGCTGAATTATTTTTTTATTTTTATTTTTTTATTTAGTTATTTTTCAAGTACAGTTTTTTGTCTATTTCTCCCATCCCAGCCCCCCTCCCCCCCCCGCCCGGTGCTCCCCACCTCCTAAAGCTTATCAAGGAAACTAAAACAAGAGCAGAAATAAAAGTGCTGTTTGGGTCTGGTGCAAAATGCCATGGTCAATGAAAAGAAGAGGAACCCTGAGTAGTCAAAGTCATAATCATAGTTCTTATTCCTTGAGCACTTCCTGTGGGCCATGCAACAGGCTGGGGGCCTCTAATACCCTATCTCATTAGTGCTCCCAGCAGCTGGTGGGGTCACCATTACTAATTCCCATTTGCAGGTAAATGAAATGAGAGGTGAATTAACTTGTCCAGGTTTTACCAGGGGAAGCCAGGATTCAACTCACGTCTTCCTGATTCTAAAGCTGGTGTTTTTTACTATATTGTGATGTCTTTCATGGTTATGTTTAGAAAGTAAAGAGAGGTTTCCAAAATGCTAACGTCCACGAGGACTTTCCTGATGTGAGCTTTGCTGGGCTGTCCTGCCCCTCTCCTCTGAAGGAGGGCAGAGTTCACCTCCGTTAGGGCCCGGGCAGGTTTGTCCTTTTACTGCGAGCCCAGCCTCACCTGGCTGGCTGCATCACATCCCGAGGCTTCTGTCCTTCTGAAATTTGTTCTGTGTTTTTAATTGCACTGCATCAGATTATGACAGGACATGAGGAATGTGTGCAAATGCTGCTGGAACAAGAAGTGTCGATTCTCTGCAAAGACTCCAGAGGAAGGACGCCCTTGCACTACGCAGCTGCCCGTGGCCATGCCACGTGGCTGAGCGAGCTACTGCAGATGGCGCTTTCGGAGGAAGACTGTTCCTTCAAAGATAACCAAGGCTACACACCGCTGCACTGGGCTTGTTATAACGGTGAGTTGGCTGTCATTTGACTGATTCCCGTGGTCAGCCCATCCCCCAGCACCCCTGTGACCTCAGTGGGGGTGAGAACCCAGCATCGTGTTGTAAACCGTGACTTCCCATCTTTCTGCACCCAACATACCTTTTGTTCAGTGTTTTCTCTTCATGGCTGTCACGATACCTTAATGGAGTAAAAGTTCACTTTCTCCTTTTTGTTCATTAGTAACATAGAACTCCGAATCTGAACTTCCAATGAACTAAAATAACAAGTTAGAACCAGGGTTTCTGATCTGCATGATATAACCAGGGATCCTACAATATTTAAAGTAATACAGCTAAAATTTTTAAAAAGTTATATAATAATGTGTCACAATTGACTGCTAGTCAGACTACTAGATGAATGATTTGTTTTTTAAATTTCTTTTTCATATCTCATTTCTCCCATTTATTTTGTTGCACTTGTAATTCAGAACATTTAAAATTTTTTATTTCACTTCACATGAGTAAAAAAAATACATGCTAATCATAACATTTCAAAAATTTTCTTCATTTCCAAACTCACTCTCTGATGTAATTTAGCAATCACAAATATGTGTGCATCTATTTTAAAAATAAAATCATATAACAACTATCATTATTTAACTTTCTTTTTTGCTCTGGTTTACTTAACACATTGTCTGATGGGCAGAGGTATACTAGCCCCCATACTAAACCGGAAGGGGCCTTCAGAGAGAAGAAGGATTCGGGCTTCCACCCCATCGAATATAACAGAAATTAGCAGAGGGCAATTTCCTCACAGGGATGTGGGAGCAGAGGGACGGACGGCCCAGCACTTTGTGCAGATGATTCTCCATGAACAGAGAGATTATTCCCTTCTGTTACAGTACGTTGTTTATGGTGTAGCTCAGGTACTAATGATTGACAGGCGAAGGGGCAGAGAATGCAGTACAGGGCCATGCCTCCTGGTGGTCTTGTGTTGGAGAGTGGTTTATAATCGATATTATCATCAGTTTAATATTTACCATGGTTGTCATTGTCATTCTGTCCATTGCTAACACAATATTTATGGTACATTTTGTGGAGCACAGATAATCATCAACTAGAAGGCTCTGATATGTTTGCTAAAGACAGTGAGGTTGATCAAAGGTCACAGCATCAAAGAAACCCAGGACACAGCTGGCGTGCGGTGTGTTCACACCTACTTGTGTGCACATTCGACTGCAGATATCCTTACAAGTTATTATGGATCGGTAGTGATCGATCTTCTTAATAGTGGTATATTTTATGGCAGGTAGATAAATATAGATGTATATGTGTATCAGAATTTAATATTTTTTCAATCAAGTCCCTACTGATGGACATTCAGATTGTTTTCAGGTTTTTCCTGCTATAAACAATGCTGCAGTGTATATATTCATATTATGTGCCTTAAATTCTGTCGGGTAGTTCTGTCTGAAATTATTGATAAAGGTATGCACATTCTCTAATTTTAATACATTATACTGTTACTTTGCAAAAAGGGTGTTATTTATTACTCCACCAAATAGGTATATAAAACTTTTATTTCCTGCAGCCTTTGCCAGACCAGAGTGGTGTCATCTTTTTCACTCTTGTGAATTGAAGGGCAAAAAAGGCTATGTCATTATTTTAATATATGTTTCCCTGTCTAACACTGTATTTATTCATTCGTATTTCCTCTTCTGGAAATTACTTTTTCCACCTATTGCTAATTTACTTATTGAGTTTTATCTTTTCTCACACATTTGTGGAGGACCTTGTCTCAGAGAGACAAATCCTCTCTGTGTGTTGTGTGTGGCAGATGTTTTCTCTGAGGCTGTCACTTGTCTTTGTTCCTTGTTTATGACGCCTTTGTCCATGCGGAAGTTTTGAACTGTTGTGTAGTTGAATCTGTCATATTTTTACTTTATGGGACCTTGGTTTCCATTGCTTAAGGTCTGCCACCCTGAGTTTATATGGATATTTTCTCATATATTTCCTACTCTGCGTGTACAATTTTATTTTTCCATTCTCAATTCTTGCATTAAACTTTCTACTCAGAAACTATGATTACGGGGTTCAGGCAGATTTATGGGTGCTCTGATTTAAGACATTTCCTTTCATTTTCCTCTTTTTCCATTGGCTCCAGTGTCAGGAAAAGCCAAATTTTCCACGTTCTCAGCTTGGTTTCATTCCCTCGCTGACGCTGGAGAGCTGCAGTTTTCCCCCACTGATGGGACAACTCCGAGATTGTCTGGCAGGAAGGGGACGATGCATTGGTTGTAATGGCAGGTGGCAAGACCACCAGACCACATTCTGTCCCCAGGAGTGAGGAGAGGAAGGAGAGATGGCAGTCTCAGTTCTCAGGCCTCTCCAGGTGCCAGACGCGGGAAGAGGAGCAGTTCTCTCCTTAGTAATTGCAGTGCAGTCTTCCTCCCAGAATCCCCTTCTCTGAGCACTGAGAAATACTGAAAGCCATTCAAGGATCCCCAGTCCTATCTACACAGACCCTTAGGTTGGGATTCATATAGTCTCCAGAAAATGGTATTGGTAGATGCTTCCCTTAGCTAAATTCTCAGCGGGGAATCATTCTAATTGAGGGTTTGATGTGTTTATGTGAGGTTTAGATATAGTTGGGAAGCTAAACAATATAACTTGCATAAATGTAGGGGATTTTCATAATCATTACTTCATATGTGTTTTAATTCTCCTAAAAGCAGTCTCACTTTTTCTCTTGATAAAAGAGTTCGATTTGTGTTTTAATGTTTAAAATTGTCTGATCTACATCATTCTAAGATAAAACGTAAAAGACCTCTGAGCAGTTTAGCACTGAGTTCAGCCAGGAGGAGGAGGCTGCAGGACAGGAATCTGTATTTTACAACCAGTAGCTTTGCCTTCTTGCCTTAATCACCATCCATCACTTCACAAGCCCCATTCAGGCCCTTTATCAAGTAAAGCTCCCATTGTCCTGTGAGATCGGTAGGGCAGTTATTCCTAGTCTGGTTTTCTTTAAATTGATTCCAGAGAGAGAGGAAGGGAGGAAGAAAGAAAGTGAGAAAAACAGGAATTGGTTGCCTCTTGCATGTGCCCCAACTGAGGACAGACCCACAACCCAGGCATGTGCCCTGATGGGAATTGAACCCACGACCTTTTGGTTTGTGGGATGATGCCCGAACAACTGAGTCACACCAGCCAGGTCTAGTCTGATTTTTTACATGTGAGAAATCGAGGCTCACAAACTCCAAGTGAGTTGCCCTAGTTCCCATAACAAGTAAGCTAACAGATCAGAGACCGTTCTTAAAATTCAGTTGGTTTGGAAACTACATGTCATTTGTTGAAAATAACTTCTTGCTTTTATTCCTCTCCTTATGTTTTTAAAAATACTGATTGGTCACATATTGTTTACCAGGAATTGGCCTTGGGGTCATTTTAAACACTTCTGTAGTGTTTTATAGTCAAAGCCTTCTCACCTGCATTATCTCAGAGACTATTTTCCATCAGCATCATCCGCTCTTCACTGCGGTACATAATTATAAGCGAACCTGCTGATTTTGGTGAAAGGGAAATTTCCTATTGTAAATATGGGGAAACTGAGGTATGTTACGCATCCATCAGGAACTGAGCATAACACTGAATCTCTTCTGATTGCAAACGAGGTTTATCTCCTTCTCTCCACCAGACCAGATGGCCTTCCTTGTTTTATGTGTTCGTTATGTCTAGAACACCTGTGACCATAGTTAATAACATTTTGTCATTTGTGAATTTTATTCCACGGAGAATGAGCATTCAACCAATTCAGGAAAATTCATAAGCCAGAATTCAGTACTTAATGACAAAAAAATTGATTGTGTGGAACGACATTTCTTTCTTGGGAACGCCCTAAATTCTTTTGCTCCCTTGCAGGTAATGAAAACTGTATAGAGGTACTTTTGGAGCAAAAATGTTTTCGCACCTTTAGCGGCAATCCCTTCACTCCACTGCACTGTGCAATGTAAGTAGACCTGCGGAAGTGACCAGTGTTGCTTTAATTCTTTAACTGCACCTAAGGAAATTGCCCTTTAGGGAAGGGAAGGGCTTTCACATTGTAGATAAGACCAATGTGTTGCACTTTGCTGTTAAAGGCAAATAGGTCTGATAGCAAAGTGTGGTCCCTAATGTTCGTGATTTTCCAAGATATTTTTGCGGAGCGCCATGGGTCCCAGGGGCAAAGACAGCACCTCAGGGAACCCTCACGAAAAGGCGGACTGAGAGGCACATGCGAAGAGCTCTTCAGATGTGCCTCACATTTGTCAGCCAAATTCTAAAAATAAGTTGGGGGTAGCAACAGTCTTCCTGTGGATAATTAGAAAGACATTTTATACCAGGAAGATTTTCATATAGTGTAATTCTCTATTCTTCATATTCTAAGGTGTTCTAAGGTATTTCTTTTGCAGGGAGGGAGTGTAGTTTTTGCTCCAGCCTCACAGTATGAACCATTGTTCAGAGAATATAGTGACTTTAAGTTGGACTTCCAGGGTTACCTGTGTTCACCTGGGGAACCACGGTCAGCCTGCGGGCCTAAGACTTGGGAGTGCTTTGTGTTTGCCTTGTCTCTGAGCTCGAAGATGGTCATCTTCACTTGAACACAGGTTATTTGATTGCAAAGACATTGGAGGCATAAGGTGGATCGATAAATAAAGGATAAGGGGTAAAGAGCAGAAGTGATTTTAAATCAGAAGAACCATGTCTTTTTCACTTTGGTATCCCCAGACACCTAACGTGATGCCTTGTAAGTGGTGTGCAGTGAACCCCTGCCTGGATGTGGGGGTTCTGAAGAAATGAGTGTGTGCCAGTAGAACTGTTAAGATGGTAAAGAAGACAATTTAGGTGCTACAAACACACTTTATTTAACACTTTATGAAGCAGGCAGTGTCCACTCTCAAGATTTCAGAGACCTGCATAGTGGGCGTAAGGCAGGAAGCTTTTACAGGATCAAGAAGAAAGAACGAGGATGGGAAGGAATATCTGATTGGCTGGGATTGCATATCTGGCCTTATTCGAGTTTATCCTAAGAACAGGGCAGTCACCCGTCCAACTGGGTGATCATGTATTGGTTACTAAACAGTGTGATTTGGGGGGCAGGTAGAACATTTACAAAAATGTGAAACCTAAAAGTTTTGTTTTGCTGACATGACTTCCCAGAATCAGTGGCACCTGGCCTGCTGAGGAGAGGTTAATATACCTTCAATTTGACAGTCCCCTCTTCCCTTTGATCAACCTCTGGTCAAGCAAGGCGTTTGGTCAAAGATGGTGTTGCAAATTATTCTCAGTTACCATTTCCTCTGTGGGTCTTGGTCTGTATTTCATTGGAGATAAGGTCAAGTTCATCATTCTAGTTGGAGGAAGACCATTTGTGGGTTGGCTGATGGCTAAAACTCTTAAGAGAACACACAACAGACCAGGGAGATAATTACTATTATTAACAGCAAAAGAATTCCTAAGGTTTGCAGGGTACTCCTGAGCCAGGATCCCTGTGAACCAAACCAGCTAGAATCAAGTAAGTCAAAAAATGATCCTAAAGAGGAGATACTTCTTCAAGCCAGTTGGCCTGTTCATGTATTTCATGTTACTGTTTCCACACCCCCAGAAGCATTTATCCAGTAGCCTGTTCCCACAAAACTGAGGCATTCAAATCAGGGAGAAAGTTGTGACAGACAAGACTACAATGTTGTTTGAGGGTTGGAGGATACCCCCCTTGCAATGGCATGCGGTACATGAACAATGGCGCTATCTCTCTAGGCCAGGGCAAGGCAAAAGGTAGACAAAAGAATCATAAACATCTTTATGGTGTAAAAGTTAGAAAAAGGATGGTCACTGAGGGAAAGAGGAACGGGAAGAGATGTTCTTGATCATGGGAGGAGGCAGTGTACCTCAATGTCAGCTGCCTCTCTTCCCAGTCAGTTCAGTTTTGAGGTCTCCAGGGTTCACACAGGACCAGATGTCAGGCAGAGTCTTCTTCAGTCGTGAAATACGCACCCGAGGTTCTTCGACGTCCTGGAATGTGGCAGGGTGGCAGTGGCCCAGAGTATTTAGTGGGAATCTCACTTTTGCAAAAGCCTCAGAGACCAATAATAACTATCTGAAAAGGACAAAAGACTTAAAAATGTCCATGATTAAAGACTGTTGAGAGCTCATGATAGTGGAATTGACAGGGAAATTTAGTTATTTCTGTGGCACACAACATTTTAAGGTAACTGGAATTATGACTGATAACATTCTACCAGGACATATCAGATTTTTAGGAATATTATGTAATTACTGAAAAACTTATTTTTGTAACCTGTACCCAAAGATTATCCTAGATCATGTGAACTTGAAAAACATTTGGGTTAACTTCTATCTTTCTGAGAGTATACGTGATTTATAAACGTGCACCTAATTTTCTTTAAGCCAATTAAATGGGGCTCTTTATACAATAATTTAGGCATTACCATCCTGAGGCAGAAAAAAAATCACATATCTGTAGCATACACACATAAACATACCTTAATATATAAACACAGAGATCTTATAGCTTTCATTTCAAAATTTTAGCCTTGAAACAAGTATGATACTGCAAAACGCACTAGTTTATAAAAGAACAATCGGAGCCAAATTGTTTTTCTGGCAGATGGAGGAAATTAAGGTTACCTGCTCAGATGGCTACATTTTTTACTAATGTTGATGGAGAAGACTTTTAAGATTTTCCATTCTTCTGTTTCCAAATAGCCTTTCTTTTTCTTTTTTCTAATAAGAATCACCTCTCCGAAGTTTGCATTTCAAAGGGACAGTTAGTACTTTGTTCCCAGAGAAGACTCACAGCAGAACGTTTCTGTCTCAAAGGCACAGGAAAGGATGGGGGAGTCCTCCAGGGCGGTTTTGGGTCCTAAATCCAGAATTTTTACATGTGCGGCTTTTTGAGATTTATAGGGGAAGTTTGGGTGACAGGTAAAAAGGGTAGGCGGGCTTTTTCTGTTCTTGTAAAGGCACTATTTGTAAGGCAAGGAGGTTTTTTTTTTATTTCTTCGAAGAACTGGGTTGCAATCTGAATGATATCAAAGGGCTATCATTCAATGACATTAATTGCTTTTTAATATTAGGAAGAAGATCTTTAACTGAGATAGAAATAAAAATTTTGAGATGTTTGTCTTTGGAATTTCACCCCCCACCCCCACTCCCCGTACAGTCTCAATTTAGCTTGGGGAAGGAGTTCTAAAAAATGTTCCTCTCAGGCTTTGAATATCAGCTTCCAGTTTGCCCAACTTCGACTGTAGAGCTACTTATTTTTAAAAAATTCTTTCAAATTCTTTTCAAGTTTTCAGCTGAGACAAACAGTAAATATTCCTGGCACTACTGAACAATCCCATGGATGCCAGAGTTGTCCCCAAAGAAGGTGACAAAGGTACCACCCTCCCCAGATTCAGAGCCTCTGCCAAAGATAACCAAAAGAAAGGACTAAGATAAACAAGAAGGTACTAGCTAATGTACCACATGGTGGCTGTAGGTAGCAACACTCTATTGTAGTTCGAAAGATGCTAAGAGAGTAAATCTTCAAAATCCTCACCGCAAAAAAAAAAATGGCAACCACAAGTGGTGATGGATGTTAACTACACTTAATGCGGTGATCATTTTGCAATGTATACAAATATCGAATCATGTTGTACACTTGAAACTAATAGAATATATCTCAATAAGAAAAAAAATAACTAAAAAAAGGAGATGAAGGAAGCAATAGCTGTCTTTGGGGGAGAAAAAGATTAATAAACAAGGAGTACCTTAAAACTAAATTCACAAAAATCTGAATTTGGAAAGAAGGGACTACCTGAAATTTTACCTTCCTCTCTTGCCTGGGCACAACAGGCTGGGGAGACTGAACTCTGGGAAAAATCCTTCCCTTCTGTCTGTTTCTGCCAGTTCTCCCAGGATGCCATCTGTGGGCTCTGGAGTGAGTTGGCCTTAAAGCAGAGTGTAGCCACAGTATCTACCAGAATTTAGCAAGGATTTTCCATGGACTTTATTTTCCTTTCTTGTGGGTGAAGGGGGAAGGGAACTGCTACCAGACAGGAAAGTTGGCAGTTACCTATCTGAAATTTCAAAGTTGTAAAAATAGTTTAAAGACAATGAAGGGGTAGAATCAGATAGCTAAAGGGTGTGCTGTACATAGATAGTGCGTACTTTTTTATTTTCATATTCCAAAGTGACCTTTATTGTATTTTTTTCCATTACAATTTAGTTCCTTTATATCCTCCCCACCCTTAGCAATCACCCCGTTGTCCACACTGATGAGTCCTTTTTCCTTTTTGCTTAGTCCCTCCACCCACTGACTTTGATTTTCGTTTCCCCACTGCTCTTAGGGAGTAACTGGTTGCAGTTTACTAGAGAATTCCTCCAAGTCCCGTCGACCCTGGGAGAGGTCCACATAGGGTTCCTCCTTTTAAGGTAGATTATGGGGGTGCTTAAATGAGCTCCACAAAACCTTCAAGGACGGTCTTTTTTCCAGTGTCCTGGCTGATTGCAAGTGAGACAGCGATTTCTGGGCCCATGTCTTAATGATTGACCTCCTAGGAGGGAGCAGCAATGTGGGGGTGAGGGGAGACCAGCTATTGACTTAGGTTTCTGTGCTTGGAGCTATGGCAGCTTTAAGGCCACTGACTTTGAGAAGACTTGTTTATGGTCTTGTAGTCTCTTCAGGATGGAAAGTCAATTCAGATAAAGGATTAGTAGACTGTGAGTGTGCAGGCAAAGAAGGATAGAGGTGGGGTAGCAGGAGTCACTTCAGTCTTAAAGTCTTTTGTTATAGGCAGCTCTTGTATGTTGAATTTTTATGAGCCTTTTGCAATGAATCTTTCAATGAGGCTATTTTGGAATACTGTGGCCTTTGGAGGCTTCTGCATACCAATAAAATAAGTATCCCATTCTACTGGTTAATTTGGGAACACTTGATTTCAAGTATACTTCCTAAATGAATACTCTTATTGGAACATTCCCCATTATGGCGTTGTAATTATAGGTTGTCTTAGTAAGGTTTCACCCTTTTTATCTACAGCTTTCAGGACCAAAGTTATTAGACATAAAATAAGCAGGTGTGCTGGAAGGTAGAAATCTCAGTTCTTTGAAACTGGAGAATACCATGTCTTTTTCCATTTTTTTTGTTTTGTGGTTCCAGTAGCAACTTTATTTTTCTTTTCATGAGTGACAAATAAGTGACTCCCCCAGAGAAGTCATTCATGAATAGTCCATCTCTTCAGCGATGCAGAAATCCCATCCCTTCCCATACCCTCCCCGACTCTCCCAAACTCTCATGTTCAGCTCCTCTCTGCCTTTGGACAGCCTTGGTCTTTCCTCAGCAATCTCCTAGCAACAGGCTTATGGTTGCCTTAGCAACCAAGAATGCTATAAAGGCCTCCAAGGCCCTGCTAAGCCCCGTGATTTCTCTTACTTCTCTCACCAGGAAGATCCTAGTGACTAAAACCCCAACAGGTCTCGCCTGCATACATGGTGATGTAAATGCACATGTGTGTGTTAACACACACACCACTTGTGGTTAAGCTATTCTCAGTCTACTCACACACATAGATACACCTGGTGCCCAAACAGTGACTCAACCCCACACAGGCCTAGACGTGTAGAGGCCACAGAAAGGCCGGCACACAGACACCATCACCAGCAAACACGGATGGGAGCCAAGACATCAGAGGCTCACACATCAGTTAGATGCATGCTGACACACACGCACACGTGAAGAAAGTAAGGCCAAGGCCCAAGAAGATGCCACCCTCCTCCCCATGGTCAACTACATCATCAGTAACAGATCCTTTAAAACAGTTGGATCTCCAGAGGAATGCTTTACCCCATAGTTACTGGGCATTCGTCCTGCTCCCTTATGCCAGCTAGGTGGGTGTAGCCTTTCTGCCTCCCTCAGTAAGTGGCTTGGGACACAGCAAAGAATCTCCCTTCCCGTTTTCCAGAGTGTTCTGGCCTGTCATTGGTCAGGTTAGGCCAGGCCAATCAGCTCCAGGGAGAGAAGGCACAGTCCAGGAGACCACACTAGAGCAGAGCAAAGTTCCTCTTCCTCCCAGACCCCAGTGTCCCTGCAGGGTTCTGTTAGGCCTTGCATAGGCAGAGAAGTGTCCCTACTTTTCCAGACCCCTGAATACTGAGCTCCAACCAAGGTCGCCAGCCTCAGGTGAGAACAAGCCAGGGGAAACTTCCCCATCCCTCCCAGGATTAGCACCAGTCCATACCCTCTGTACCACCTGTGAGCCCTTGGTGGGCTTGGGTGTGGGGAGTCCTGTCCATACCCAGGCTCTAGTCAGGTGCAGTGGGACCTCTGGCTCTCACAGCCCCTGAAGCAGAGCTAGGGAGAGGCTTTGGGGGAAACTTGATCCCCTTTGCTGCCCCCCTTCTTTCTCCCTCTACTCCCCTACAGTCAAACTGGGGGCAGTATTCACAGTTCTCAGCTCTCAGTGCGGGACAAAGCGCAGAGATCTGGAGTGGAGCAGGTCTTCAGGGTCAGGGAAAACAGTCTAGCCAGAAGCCATGCTCCAGAGCCACCCACAGCACCTCCTCCAGGAAGCCCGGAGTGCCCACCACTTCCTGCCACTCTCCTGGCCCCCCAGCACACGGCAGCTGCAGCCCCAGTCTCCTGTTCTCCATTTCTGAGCTAATCCTTAGGTCTCTTGGAGCCAAATATATACCTGAGAGAAATGTGTCTCCATGTCGGAGATTTTATGATGTTTTATAGTGTCCCTCATTACATGGACATTTTCTTGAGGTTGGCGGCTGACCTAGTGTTGGTCTCTTAGATTTGAGTGGCGCGCACTCTAACGGCTTTTAAGTGCTTGACCCTTGCCCACCAATTTTTCAGCGTTGGCTTCCAAGACTCCCATTAACAATAGCTCTATTATTCTTTCACAGGAAGATTTCTTTATAGTGGCAGATACCCTAAGGGCTTTTAAGGCTCCAACTTGTGCCCACTTAGATTTTGATAGGCCGCTGGCTGTAAATTTCTTGTCTTAATTTATTTCTCAAAGTCCCTATTAGTCTGTCAGCCGCTGCCACCCACTAGGAAGTCCTGAAACCTTTCCAGGATCCCAGAACCTTTCTAGGAACTTTAATAAACCCCTTTGCTTTAAAATTTGGACAAAATTTGTTTGGGTCTGAGAGCTGCACACAGGGAGTGGAGCCCAGATCCAAGAGTGACTTGCCCACGGCCCTCGGTGAACCAGAGGCACTTTTCCCGTCCTTCTCCTTCCAGACCTGCAGCAGTTGCTCCGGACACTGTCCTTCCTCATCACCAAAACTGTCAAACAGACCTGAACACGTTCGGAAGCAGGCAGTTCTCCCGAATCTTGAGAGTAGAGACCGCCTGCGTCAGGAAGTGTTAAATAAAGTTTGTCTGTGTTACCTAAATTGTCTTCTTTAAACATTTTAGCAGAACATAGACCATAGGTATTTACATCAGATTTTTTAAGAGAATACTTCAGATTGTTAAATATACAGTGCTTAGGAAGATGGAGTTGGAGGGGCTATATAATTTTTTAGTGAGATTTTAACACTTTAAATCCACTTTCATTTTAGAATAAATGATCATGAGAACTGTGCGTCGTTGCTACTTGGGGCCATAGACTCCAGTATCGTCAACTGCAGAGACGACAGAGGCAGGTGGGTGACGCCGAGGTGGTACGCCTCTTTTCTCCATGAAGCTCAGTCCCTGCTCTGTGGTTGCAGAGTGGCCAGACATCTTTTTACTCTTTTTAATTATAAAGGTAATATATAAGCATGTTTTTTAAAAATGAAATATGACAAAGGGTATATAATTAAAAGAAAATTTCCTCTTAGCCCAGAAGGCCCAGCCTCTTCCATTGAAGAAGCCACTTTAAACCGTTCTTTCCAAATTTTCATATTCTCTCAAATATTTTCTATGCATAGCTACAAACGTATATAAAATATGTGTGCTTACATTCTTTATATGCAAACAGAGCATTCTGTAGCAATGTTCTGCTTTTAGTATATCCTGGAGATCTCCCTGTACTAAAACAATGAGATTTGGCATGTTCTTTTTAAAGCTGCATATTATTCATTTGAATGGATATGTCATAATTTATTAGCTTGCCCTCCATTGAAGAATACTGAGGTTGTTTCCAGCATTTTGCTTTGCAAAGAATGGTGCCGTTCAGATGTGTCTGTTCATATGCTCCAAGTGTGTCCAGGAGATAAAACCGTAAATGTGGAATTACTTGGTTCAAAGACCAATGGTTTTTAATTTTGATAAATAATATCAAGTTGTCCTCCCCCCAAAAATCAGTCATCTACATTAGATTATGTTGGCTTTTAAAAAAAATAGTCAATTATCTACCAATTTAAGGTGTAATTTTGAAAGTATCTTTAACAAAGGGGAGAGAAATGTCACTGGAACTCAAAATTAAAGCTTTGATCAATGTTAATTTCATCATCAGGGCCACCCCCTCCCCCCACCACACAGGCGATATATCAGTGTCCACCCTGAACGTGCTTTACGGGGGGGTGGGGGGGAGGGCTGACCACTAGCTCTGTAAACCGAGAAGTTTTAAATTATCTCTGTAAACCTAAGACAAAACCCTGCACCTGTTTCTCTGGCATTTGCGGTAAGAGAGTGTGTTAAGTGTGAAGGCGGCTAAAATCCTACTCGCTTCCCACGGTCAGGACACCGCTTCACGCCGCGGCGTTCGCTGATCACGTGGAGTGCCTGCAGCTGCTCCTGAGACACAGCGCGCAGGTGAACGCGGCGGACGACTCGGGGAGGACAGCGCTGATGATGGCTGCTGAGAACGGGCAGGCAGGCGCCGTGGGTACGTGCGGGGCGCGCGGACTTCTTGTTTATGCCTGTCCAAAACCAGAGCAAGGCAGAATCAGGAAATCAGTTATTCTCTGCTGTATGTTTACAGAAAGACCGATATTTTATTTAAGCCACCTGACTCTACTGGCTCATTGTCTGCATTCCGGTTACCGGGTTGTTGGTGGACCTTACCAAAGTGAGCCAACCTTTCTGCAGTGAAATCTCTTGATGCTTAAAAACCGAATGCGACAAAAAACCGTTTTATCTGGAAATAAAACTGTAAAGACAATTGAAGTGAATGCCTATAGGCCTTGGATTTGGATAAAACAAATGTGGCAATAAATTGTTCCTTTTTTGTTAAAAACATTAACTATGATTGTGTGAGCTGGACTAATCTAAATGTTATTGTTTCTATAGTAACATCTTCAAAATGCATGTAGTCTGAATGACTTTGTTTTGTTTTTTTCTGTAGACATTCTGGTGAACGTTGCCCAGGCAGATCTGTCTCTAAAGGATAAGGACTTGAACACACCCGTACATTTGGCTTGTAGTAAAGTATGTAAATGAATTTGAAACACTATTTGGTGTAAGAACAATAACAATACCACTTAAACTTTATCTCAGAAGTGTGTATTCTGGCCCTTAATTAAGATGTGCCTTTCCCCAGATGTTGTCGATTCTAAGCGGAATGGAATCGAAGGAGGAAAAGCAGAGGGCGGGCCCACGCTGGGGTGATGAGGCCGAGGAGCTTTTCAGGGCGTCCGCCACTTGCGTTCTCGCTGCGGTCTCTGTCTTCCTGTTGCCACTGTACCTGTTTTCCTGGTTGTGACACCGTATTTCGGTTTTAAACACAAATTAGAACTTTAGATATACAGCTTCTAAAATATAAGCAGTTCCGCGGTTTTCATTTTGTTTCGTTTTGAAGGCGTTGTAATAACACAACCAAAAAATACTCTTGTAGGAGGCAAATCAGTGGGTTCGTATGCAGTGCTGCCCTCTCCCTTTTTTCTGGTGCATAGTTCAATGCAAAGGACGCACTGGGTTTTTCAAATAAAAACAGCATTGTGTTTACATGCAATGCAGGGTCCCTAATTCAGCAAAAGATTAACGGTACATATAAATGTATGATTTTACAAAAGTGGGATCATTCTGTTTACAGCCTGTTTTTGTAACTGAATCGTATTGTGAAAGTCTTTCTTTTTAGACATTTTTAGAATGTTTTAGAAGATGTGTAGTATCCTTCTACCTCAGGACCGTGCCATCCTTTCATCAACCCACCCCCTACTGTGAGGCATTTGCTTGCTTTCAAATATAAGCAACTATAAATAATACTAATTGCAGAGAAATTTTTTTAGGAATCCTTGTTTCTTTAAAATAAATTTCTAAATGTGACATTATTGAGTCTGAGGCTATGAACATTTTCAAGACCAAATTATCTTTTTTTAAATTCTTTTTAAATTTAATTATTGTTCAAGTACAGTTTTCTGTCTTTTCCTCCCATCCCAGCCCACCCCCCCCAGTGACCCCCACCTCCCTCTCATTTCCACTCCCTTAGTTGTTTTCCATGTGTCCTTTATACTAGTTCCTCCCCTTTTTCCCCTGAAATTCCCTCCCCTCCCCCCTCTGGTCGCTGTCCCCCTGTTCTCTATTTTAGTGTAAAGACCAAATTATCTTGTAATGAAGTCAGAACCATTTACACTCCAGCAGTTGTGCGTCACAGTGAAACCCCCAGCCCTGGCCAGTAGCTCAGGAGGTTAGAGCGTCGTCCTGACACGGCAAGGCTGTGGGTTCAATCCCCAGTCAGAATCAACCAATGAATGCATAAATAAGTGGAACAACAAATTGATGTTTCTCTCTCTCTCTCTCTTTCCCTCTCTACCTCCCTCTCTTAGTCTCTCTCTCTAAAATCAATAAATAAATGTTTAAAAAAGAATGCAACCTCCATGGAAATTTCCAAATTACAATTTGGAAATTATAATTATAATTATAATTAGACTCTTAATTATATTTAAGGGTCTCCCTCATAAGGCACCAGGTGACGCCAGTTGGCACCAGTGATGGTGGTGTAGTTCAACAGAGTTAAGGCGCTATCTATACCCACTAGGACCAGAAGTCTCAGCTGTTCCCTTCAGTGGTTGCATTTTCTCACTTCATGTTCTGGGAGGCCCATAGGAAACACAAGAAGTGCTCAGTTGTGTAAACTTTATTCCAAGGTATAGTTTTCATGAGCATAAGCGCAGTGCTTTTCAAATGTCACTTTGCCACTGAATCACCTGACAACATTGTTAAAATTCCGATTCTGATGTAGTAGGTCTGGAGTGGGGCCCGAGAGCCAACGTTTCCACCCTGTGTGGTGCTGATGCTGCCAGTCACAAGGGCGTAGGAAGCCGTGGCCCCTCACAGAGCAGAGATCTGAAACTGTGAATGCGCCTCTGTCTGATCAGTTGGTTTTTAAAATTATCAACTGTCTGTTGTCGTAAGATGCAGAGATAATTCCCCCTAGTTGAGGAAAAAATGAATGAACTTTCTTGAAAAGGAGTCCATTCTCAACGGAAGGCAGTAAATGATGAGTCATACAGGGAACAGGTGTGGTGGGAATGCCAAGGATGATGGGTCACTGAAGTGGTTAGTAATTGAGGGCTTGAGGAAGGAGATGGGGCTTGACGTATATTTAGTGTTGAAAGACACTTCTAATTCTGCTGTTTCCCAGCTGACCTGGCTGAACTGTTACCCGTTTCAGCTCTCTAGACATTAATTCTAAAAGTTCTCCTAGAAATAATTACTGTTTCAGATCAGATTTATATTCACCAAGTCCTATGGACCTCATTCAGGGTCTTGAAAAGTCTAGGGCCCTTTGACTATTTTACTTTTTAGAAGAAAAGAAGAATTACTCAAATCATAGCCTTACAAAATATATATATATATATATAGGCAGGGGACATTCATTTTAAATTTGAATTATATTGAAGTGATTGTTCCGGAACTTTTTGATGTTTCTGTCTTCTGTTTCTTATTATTTTTTTTCTCTATTAGGGTCATGAAAAATGTGCCTTGTTAATACTTGACAAGATACAAGACGAGCGCCTTATTAACGCAAAAAATAGTGCACTGCAGACGTAAGTGTGATGACTGAAGTTTGACTCAGACCCAAGTTCATGGTCATTTATTTAACAAATATTAAGAGCTTGCTTTGTGCCAGGCTAGAGCAGGGGAGTGCAGCTGCGAAAGACATAGTCCGGCTTCCCCTTCATGTGGCTTAGTCCGAGACCGACAAATGCAGACCAGGCGAGGCATCTTTAGTTAGAGTCTTTGTTTTGATGTGCCTTCATAGACATTGGTCAAGTCCATGTTTATCTTTGCTGATATTTCTATGGTAATATTGTAAATTTTGTGGGTGGTCAGAAAATCTTATGGGCTGACGTATTTGGGGAAACATTTGTATAAATGTGTTAGCATTATGTATTTGTACTGGAAAATGACAGTTTTATACATTGGGTTCCCAGAATATACTGGAAGAATTTCCAAGCTATTTGCCTTAATTACACTTTAGTGTAATTCGGTGTCATCCTTGATGTGAAAGATCTCAAAGCTGCTTCACGTTCTACTTTCGGAAATTACACATTTGTGTTAAGAGCAAAGGACTATTAAGATTTGTTTTCATTGAAATTCTTAAGGAACATATAGCAGAATATACTGTTGGGTTTCTTTTTGAACACTTTATTTTTGGAGAGAAGGGAAAGGAGGGAGAAAGAGAGGGAGAGAAACATCAATGCGTGGGAGGAACATCGATCAGCTGCCTCTCACATGCACCCCAACCAGGGACCCCGGCTTGCAACCCAGGCATGTGCCCTGACTGCGAACTGAGCCGGTGACCTTTCTCTTTGCAGGACACAATGCTCAACCAACTGAGCCACACTGGTCAGGGCAGAATATACTGGGTTTGACATTGTTCTTGAAGGTATTATAACTTCAGTAAAATATCATTTAGTAATAACAAGGAGATTTGAGATTATATACATGGGTGATATATTAAAGTCATATTGATGAATTTTGTGAAACAGTGATTCAAATTCTAGAGTAGAAATCAAGGGGTAAGGAACCTTCTAGAAAACACACTAGATTTTGAGTTCTGTTTTCCTATTTACCGTCACTGAGGTTGTTTGACATGCAGGGAATTTGTAATGTGTCTAGAGAAGTCTGGACCAGCATGGAAGAACTGTGGGTCATTAGCCCCCAGAAAAGATCTGGCCAGCCAATCTCTTCTTTTAAAAGTAAAAACGTTCATATAGTTTCAATGGATTCTCAAGTACTCTCTTCCCTCTAACAACGCAGGCTACCCAGATGACACGTGCTCACACAAACACGATCACAGTTGACGCTCAGTGTTCTGATTTCAGACCCCTCCATGTTGCTGCGCGCAATGGCTTGAAGGTCGTGGTTAAAGAGCTGCTGGCCAAAGGGGCTTGTGTCCTCGCTGTCGACGAGAACGGTAAGTGGGAAAAGGAAGCAATTACTGCAGGTATTTTCCCCGTGCCGTGAAGCCAGAGCAAATGACAAGTGTAGGAGCTAGTTAAAAGGCAGTAAGAATTCTCTCCCCATCGGAAGTTCCCTGTGTGTGAGAAATCAAACAAGGATCATTTGTCCTGTCTGTCCCTGCTGTAGCCCACCACTGCCTTTCATTTCGCATGTCCTGTCAGCAGCTGGTCTCTAACTCCTCAGCGTGGGGTGGTTAAAGGATTTTAGATGCACTAAAACGCTTTCAACTCGGTATTCGCAATTCTGACTGCCTACACTGAAGAGTTAGAGATTACACATCGTTAGTGCATGCTTGAGGGCTCACATAAAACACCAGGTCTCTGTATTTCAGTTCATTCTGAGATCAAACTTTTTCTTTTTAATAACAGATCAGAACTCACATTCCCAGGATGGATATTTGAGGAACATGAATAAAAATTCAAAACTAATATCTAGGCCTGAAACTTCTCTTTATATATATATTTTTTCTAAATGAATTAGCTCTTAACAGAAGCTTTCCATTCTGCTTCCTAAGAAATTCTGAAAATTAATGAACTCTAGAATTGTATTAAACCAACATTTTAAGCACAATGCCTATTAACCTTGGGGAGCAAAAGAGGGACTTCTGGATATTTAGAAATCAAGTAAAAAATTTTAAATGTGGCATTAATTAAGATCTAATAAAACGTATTAATGTAACTCAATTAACTGCTTATTACAGGTATTGGAATTAGGAGCTCATGCCTATTTCTCCGAAGTAAGCAGCCATGTGACATCATTGGCTAACCCCCGTTAGTTTTGGTTTTGCGGCCCCAGTACCCTAGCATGTTCCCTGCTCTGTCCTCAACCTGACTCATCTAGGAGGTGCAGAAAGTTCTCTGTTACTTCATCTCTTTGGTTTTCCTGCCTCACCTTCCCTCCCCCTCTAAACACCGCTACACACCTTAGGGATGCAGTGCAGAGGCCCACAGTGTTTCTCTGAAATGACCAGAGACCAGGATAATACATTAGTTTCGCTTCTCTGGTGTAAGTCTGACACCAGTAAGCCTCACCCAGCCAATGACAACCTTGGGCCATGGAACTGTGATTTGTCTCAGGGCTTAGCTTCAAAGACCTGGGAACATTGGAGGGAATTTAGTGCAGTACTAGCTGTCATAACCCCTTTAACTCATCACAGACCTTTGTGGAATAGGATGTTAAGATAGCTGTCCATTCTTGTTTGTTTTTACACCAGAGAAGAAATAATCTGTTAAGAGGGGTTGAGGGGGAGCAGAAAGGAGGTCAAGTGTTGATAAACAAAAGAGCAAAAAGTTAAGTTTTATTGAGCCATTTCATAAAGGAGTGAATAGCAATAGGAACCTCAGCCAGTGGAGAGGACAGGGTAACCCTTTCAGGACAGGAGAATCAAGGTGGAATAAGGTAGTAATAATAATTACATCAAAGAATATATTTCCCCGTGCAACTGATTCATGCACTGAGATAATATTTCCCTTCTGGACCCACAAAGTGTAAATGGTGGAGAATGACACGACTCCATGTCAACCATAGCAATTTTCTGACTTTGGTTGTCATTGTTCCTACTTTTAAAAATTCTGTTAGGTTTCTTTTAAATGACAGTACCTCTTTAATTACAAACAGCCAGTGCCTTCCTGTGTCTGATCTACTCAGATGATTCTGTTTTTCTAGAACAAGTTGATTGTTATATTCTTTATATAAAATGTGTGTATACAGACACACTTTATATATGAATACATATTTATGTGAATATATATTATTAGTTGATATTATTGACATTTATGTATAAGTGCAATAGTGACAAAGCTGCGTGACTTGCTTTCACGGACATCTGATTTTCAGTATCCTTTCTAGCCTGACGGTCGCTTGCCTACCATGGAAAGTCATTGTTCTCAGAATGAGAGAGCTCCGGCCCCAGCCTCAGGCGCATGCTGTGTGTGGTCTCTAGTGGAAACACCTTCCTTGTTGTCCTGTTGCTGTTTTTTTGTGGAATTGTGTCCCACCCACCCCCCCTCGTGTTTCTGGTCCCTAGACAAAGACTCGAGTTCTGCCTAACTTTGGATAATATAGTGCTTGTTGCTGTCATGTAAGCTAAAAAAAAAAACCCCAAACCCCAAACCCTCCATAAAGTGTCTTCCCTTCCAGTCCCCTCTAGCCTCACCCCTAGCATGACCTGTGGGAAGTAACCCCTCCTTTTGCCTGGCATGATTTCTAACGCAACATACATCTCCACGTGTGAGGTCGTTCGAGATGTACTGTGGAAGGCTCGCGCTGCCTCTGGGTTCCCCGGACTAACCACTGCCTTGTCTGCATTTACGCCCAGGTCATACCCCGGCCCTGGCTTGTGCTCCTAACAAAGACGTGGCTGACTGCCTGGCCCTCATTTTGGCTACCATGATGCCTTTTTCTCCTTCCAGTACAATGACGGCTGTCAACTTCGTTTGTTTTAAAAAAGACAATTTGAACAGGACGACCCTCTCCAATCGGGGTAGCATGGTTAGCCTGTGCAGTAACAACATAGGCTCGGAGGATGGGTACGATGAAAATGATTCTGACTCGGAAACGTTCTGACTGCGGACGGTAGAAGTTTTCCTTGGTCAACCGTGTTGAAGAAAGGGAAAGAAGCTTGAATTCCAGGTCTATGTTGTGTTCGTGTATTATTACGGGCCCGAGCTAGCAGAAGCCAATAGAGAAGGAATCAACCCAGCTGAGAGACGCAGCAAGGCAGCAGGGTGAAGCACTCCCACACACGGGCCCCAGTTTTGATTTGCTGCATGTTTTCCTTAGATCTGAGATACTTCTGTGAAAGTCTACCTCTCGTTTTAAGTAAGGAATAAAGAAATGCATTTAGTTCTTTTTCTTTGAGGATGAGAGGGAACTGTTGTTCTCTTGAAGTGTTTTGTTTTGTTTTCATTACCTCACTTGGCAGTGAGTTCTCAGAAGTATATCAATGTGACATTCGTGTCCCCGGGGAGGGGAAGGAAGGGGTAGGTAGGAAATGCCTCCAGCCTCTTTTCACTTTGATGTTTACTTCCTCACGAGAAGCCAAAGGTAAAAGTGTTTAGCTTCAGAAATGATGCCTGTAATAATAATCTTTTCAAGGGAGTGAAACAAATCTTTTCAATTAATCTATGTCCTCTCTATAGTAAGCACTTAAATATCCAGAACTTCTTTCTGAGGATGTTTGTTCAAGTTGCCAGGTGAAGGTGGGACATTCATTGAAAACTAATCTTGCTTTTTTTCACTGAACACAAATATGACATCCACTGCTCCCCGTAACGAGCCCGCGGCTTGTTTTCACCTGTAGATTGAATCCAAATCTAATAACCTTTGAAGTGAAAATTATATTGCACCAAAACTTTGAGACATATGCAAGTTTAATATGAAACTATCCTTTATTGATTTGCCCTCAATTGAAAATAGTAACTTTTAAACAAATACCAGGACCATCAGCCTTGTTCATCCATAGTAAAGTGTTAAGTGAGCCTCTCAGTCAAGGTCATGCCAAGTGAGTGGAAGTGTGATTGAGAAAGGGAATGAAGGAAGGAAAAGCAAGCGGTCAAAATGGGTGACGTGGAAATTAAAGCCAATTTATAGTTGCTTGATGATGAAATCAACATAGTGAATGCTGTGTCTGCTCCCTCTGCCAAAGCTTCTAGGTCAAATGGACCGCGCTCCACGCCTGGGATAGTGGTACAAAAAGAAGAATGAGACTCTAAAAATCACGCACATACACATGTGCACATATATGTATATGTATGTCTGTTTCTCATCGACCAGCTGTCCACGAGGACCAAAATGCTTCAGTCTAAAATGAAAGATTTAAATTGTTTTTCTTCAAAGTGAAAGCAAGAACTGAAGTAGCTTTTCTATATAGTTAAAACGTAATCTCTTTTTTTGCATAATAGTCCGATGTATTTTATATTTCTTATGACAGATTTCTAGTTGATGGCTTAACATTTGTAACTGCTAATGTGTTGACCACGGCTTTTTTTTTTTGGCCAGACTAGAGAAAAATGTTCATATACTTTTGATGTAAATGTGTTTATATTTATTTGAAATGAAACAAATGCCAAGAAAACATCCTTTGTTCTCTCATTTCATTGCTCTGTGTCTCACTTGGAATAACAAAAAAAAAAAAGCAGAAAAGCACACAGGGCCCTCCCCGGGCTAGCCAGCAGTGCTGGGGCCAAGCCCAGCACTCCCACCCTCAGCATCTCTCACCCTGACTGCAGAGGGGCACCACATCCATTGCTCATCCCCAGTGTGTGGCCAGCTTAGAGCTCAGAAGACATTGGAGCCTTACATCCTTCTGCCAGGTGAAAACTGAAGCGTGCAGTAGATTGTATACACAGAGGTGGCCAAAGAAAGGTACAGAAATTATCCTAAATACACCGAAATCCCGGAGGGTCCCAAGACCCTAAGGGGAAACTCTATCAGTGTGTGGGCACAGGCGCCAAAAGAAGTAAAAATCACCAGCTCAAGTGCTCTGTTCCACGCGTGGAAGAGACAGAAGACAACATTGAATTAGGGCAGCACTCTCTGACCATTTTATAATCGGTTTCTCTTTCACCCTGGAGATTTGTGCTTCATGGTGTATGTGAGATATTTTTAAAACAGTGTTCTATCATATCTGGATCAAATACAGATACTGTATTATATTTTTCATCTAACTGTAAAAAAACTTTAATCTTACTCTTTTAATATCCTGGATTTAATTAAAAACTCACACTGGGTTCTTCACAAATGCAGACTGGTTCAGAGGACTTACACAATTGGTATTAATTTTCCTGAAAATTTTTTAGCACTACTAACATTATGTCTTCAATTCCCCTCCTTCCTCTGTTCTTCCTCCTTGTTTAGAGATGAATTTTTTAAAGTAGATAAACTGCTAATGAGCAATAATGACCTTGTCATTACCAAAACACTGAAAATGAGAGCGACCCAACATCCAAAAGCATGATGTACTGCGGTGTCTTTTTCTAGAAGTGAATGGAACTCTTGCTCAGTAGGCGCTGAGAGCAGGAGAAGAAATGGCTGCTTTCATGGTGAAGCAGCATTAACATGTTCCCGTAGAGCCTCCCAGAGAACCAGGACCCTTGCGGCAGGCAGAGCGGTGCCCTGCAACATTATCTCCACAGAGCTGCGTTTTGACTCCTCCCCCCTTACTGATAGAAAGAAGGAGGACAAAGGAGCAAAATGCAATCCTGCTTGCTGCCAACTGTTCATTAAAGCAGTCTTGCCTCTTTCTCTTGCCCCCCAAGACTAATTTTTTTCCTTTAGGAAATGACTTTAAAAACTCTGAGTTCTGTGTTTGTCAAGTACATCTCTTAGAAGTGAAATTAGATTTGCACATAGCTTTCGAAGGAAAAAAAACCCCACAAAACATGCTTTTTGTTGCATCTTAGTTGTTTAGTGCTTTTACCTAAGTGTTACTTTTGGACTGTATTTTAACCACAGCCACAGGGATCATGTTTCATTGCACTTAACCTGTTTGCCAGTGTCTGCTTATCCTTGGTAAATACATTACTATCTCCAAATTGCCTAAAATCTGCTCTGATTCTACAGTCAATAGCTCAGGGGATTTCTATTTATCACTACTAAAAGGGCACCATAGTATGTTTTGGTACTTTCGTCAGTAAACAGCTGCTTGATTTATTATTTTATTGTTAAATCAGAACAAGAACGTCAAATGGATCTGCTGCACTAGTTGCTCTTTGTGCCGTTGAGCAACTCGGTTTGTTTTATCTGTTGCGTTGGTTGAAGAACTCCTCCCCTTTTTTGTCTTGTAATATAAAGTTAGAGTGCCTTTTTACATTTGTATATTCTGAAAGTGTTCTGTGAAATGTTTTGTATTTTTTTTCATTTGAGTGTTACCAGAGCAATATAATACCAGTGAGTTTTCATTTCAGCCTTTCTTTGAATGTATAAAGTGTCTTTTTTCCTATTTCCCCTTTTACCTGCTTTGAAATGAAAATGAAAATGCTGAAGTTTTCTCTAGCAGTTATGTTTGATTTCACTGAAATGCTTTCTTCTTACAAAACTGTAAACCATAGGTCAGTGTTATAGGGGAAAAGCGTTCTAAGATAGTGACAATCTGAGTGTGTGTACAAAGTATAATCCTACGTGTTTCTTATGCAGTGATCTACAAACTCAATGCGAATACCTTTCGTTTCGTAGTTTGTCTACATACTTTATGCTTTAGCATGTGCAATATATCTTTGCAAAGCACGATGATACAAACCCAGTGCCAGTGTTATATTTTGCATAACATATTTGTAACAGCATAAAATATTGTTTGATGAGTTCAGTGGGATTTTGTCTGTAATGTTTTCTTATGTAAATTGGAGTTGAATGACTCTCATTAATGCTATGACTGTAAAAATGAGGAAAATGACTTTTAGTTCAGTGAATGACTTTGAACCAGTCCGAATCTCTTCAAGCACAGTTCAATACTTTTTCAACTACTGAATGCTAGCGATGTAATGAAGTGCTTAACTGTAATATACTATGGAAATGCATTCAGATGGTTATTTTTACAAATAAAAACGGTACAAATATTGTTGCAATTTCTGTCCTTTAATTTTTCTAATTTACACTAACTTTACCAATTATTCTACTAAGTTTTTACCCACCAAAGTCAAATTAACCTTAAATTTTGAAACTAAATCAAGAGAAATGCCTCTCTCCAGGTTTGCGACTTCTGTGTATATCATCGCAAATAGAGAAAAAATTCAAACATATGTTTGTGTCCATGATATTTATTTATACCTCCTATTTTGTCATAAAAGATTTGAGCCAGCTTGTAACAAAAGACATGTGATAAACCGAAAGTAGAAAATGTAAGAAGGGAGAAAAGAATGCAAACAAATATGGGAACTATAAAATTTAACACAGTGGCCGTGAACTTGAATTTGCTCTAGGCTTCCTTGTGCTCAGGGTAAGAGGGGAAATGTGACTCACTGTTTTGACTGCATGTATCAGAAAGGAGGAAGCCTATGAGGTCCTCAAATTTGTGAATTCAACTGTACTTACTTTTGTTGTTGCCACCACTGCTCTTGAACGGTGTCATAGTAACCCTGGACCCAAGCTTTCATCACTGTTTTTAAAGGTGTATATAGGACATCTCACCATCAAAACTTCTCCTCTTGAGTAGTTATTTCAGGGACAGTCCCTGGAAGCACTAGGAACAAATTCCTAATGACGGAGTTTCCAGCTGATGAGAAAAAGATTTGGGGATGGAGCCTTCCTGAGTTCCTCAAATCAGTGCCATAGAATGTCAGCAGTTCTTACGGTCCAGCCCGATTCCATCACCATCTTTTCCATGAAAACACTGAACCCCAGAGAACTTATACAATTTGTTCAAATTTGGGTATACAAATATTTAGTGATCTGAAGGCAGACAACTTGTGCTCCAGATGTTCTCTCTTCTGTGCCATCCTACCAAAAATAATGGTTTTTGGTTGTTTTTTATTAGTATTATTTTTGCCAGAAATGTTCAGAGAGGTTGCACTCTGTCCTGTTCTTATTCAAATAAACAAACCTAAGTGCTTTTCATTTTTTAAGATGATAAAGCATGAATCATAGCACAGGTGAGTACTTGCTGAAGTTCAGAGCAGACTGGAATAGATGTGTAACAAGTTACCCTAAAACTTAGTGACTTGAAACAACCAGTGTTTGTTATCTCACAGTTTCTGTGAGTCAGGAGTCCACGCACGGTTCACCTGGGTCTTCTGCCCCCAGTTTCCTCACAGGCTATAATGACGATGTTGACAAGAGATACATTTTCGAGGCTTACTCATAGGGCTGTCGGCAGGATTCGTCACTGGCTCTTGGGCCAGGCATTTCAGTTCTACCAGCTGTCGGCTGCCCTCGGTTCCTTGCCACATGGGCCTTTCTGCATAGCTCACAGTATGGCAGCCTGCCTCAGGAGAGCAAGCAAGTGAGAAAAGCCAGAGAGAGCAAGAGCCAGACAGAAGTCCCAGCTTTTTCACTGAATCTGGAAGTGACAGTCTGTCATTTTCCCCATATCCTCTTCATTAGGGGGCAGTCACAGGTCCGATCTCTACACAAGGAGAGGGGATTACCCAGAGTGTAATGCCGGGCGGAGGGGTCACTGGGGGCTGCTTCAGAAGCTGCTTACCACACTGGGTCTCTCACCGTGCCCCTCCACAGTGTAACATCACTAGGATGACTTTGTCCCAGTCATTGTTAAGGCCATTACTTAGTCCACTTCCTAAGTTTCCTCTCTCAAGGAAAATGTAGGGATTTCTAATGCCACTCTTATATGCAAGACAGAAGAGACCAGGGGCCCCACGGCGGTAATTATAACAGTGAACATTGGTGTGGCACTCTGTCTCCAAACTGCTTGTCAAAGGGACCCTCTCTGTGGTCCCATTCAGGAGGTCTAGGATCCTGAACAACTAGGCCTGGCCTAACACAGTTAATGTGTTCCAGAATTAGCCTGCAAGGCACAAAGGCATTAAGCTAAAAGGCTATTAACATAAAAATATTGTGGGTAAAAGTGCTGTATGAATTGTCTTTTCAGCAGATTTCCTACCCAAGGCACATTTGCTGTAAAATGTTAAGCAGCCAAGATCATGGCTGTGCCATTCATTAATTTTCGAGCACTGCAGGAAATGATTGGAAATGTGTAGGCACTTGTGGGCCGGAGGCGTTGCTACTGGCATTTCTAGGCCAGGGATGCCAAAGGCCCCGCCCATCCTGGGGTGCAACTCCCCCGCCCTCATTACCCATGCTCCCCTCCTGTTTCTGAATCATTTCTTCGTCAATGTCTTATTGGGGAAGCCAGTCATATTTTAAAATTATTTTCACAGGGAATTACATGAACAGGCTCTAATACATATCCCCTTGTAAAGAGCTCTTACAGGCTTAAGAAAAAGAACTTCAGAAGCAATGTCAAGTACACGTTCCCTAGCCATGTACTTTGTCCAGGAGAGATTGCATGCAGGTGAGTGCAGAAAAGTACTGCACAGATTTTGAAACAACTATGAAATTCTTTCGTTATTAAACACACATGCAGGCACATGTTTTAGGCAACAGATTATTGTAGCAGCTTCCCAGGGGGGGCAACCCTACCCACAAAGCTGGGGCACGAGGCCCGTTGTCACGCGGCAAGGTCTGCGAACAGGGCACTGCTGTCCCTCATCGTTCTCTAGGTAGACTCCAGGTCATCACTGTCTACCTTCAAGTGACCATTTCATGAAAGATATTTGAATTCTAGAGGGGGTTTGTAATTTTAAAAAGTAAAAACATTGAAGCAGCACTTGGAGCCCAACAAGCTTACCCGTGTTTATATTCAGTTCACAAAGCATCTAGCAAGTCTGAGAACATGACTAACTCTTAGGTCAGGTTTCCTAAGAATTAACAAACATTTAAGCTCAGATCTTTTTTAATGGAATTTACTGGGGTGATATTGCTTAATAAAATCATATAGGGTTCAGATGTACAACTCTATGGCACCTAATCTGTATATGGTATTGTGTTCACCACCCCAAGTCAAGTCTCCGTCCATCACCATTTATCCCCTCTCTACCATTTCCGATTAATACCGCCTCCCGCCCCACGTCCCCTCTGGTAATCATCAGGCTGTTGTCTGTATCTGTGAGGTTTTTGTTTGTTTGTTTTTTGTTTTGTTTTTGGGGTTTTGTTTGTTTTGGCTTAATCCCTTCACCTTTTTCACCCAGCCCCACACTCCCTCCCCTCTGACATAAGCTCAGATCACGACAGGAAGTTGCCAGCAGTATAAAGATCGGAGGAGAGAACATCCTAGGGAGAGGTAGCAGCCAGTGCCAACACCCAAAGGCAGGTATGAGTTTGACACGTTCCAGGAACAGAAATGGGGACAGTGTGGCTGGGGAGGTGGGTAGTAGAGCATGGTATGAGAGGAGATCAAGAGCTAGGCGGGGCCTGGTCTTACAACATTTCATGAGCCAGGAGAAGAAGCTTATAATTTATTCTGAATGTGATAAAACTCCACTGGAGAACGGTAAGCGCAGTAATGGCTGTGGTCCTAGTTCATTTTTAAAAGGTTAATCTGGCAGTTGAAGGGAGGCAAGAGAGGAACCCTAGGGCTGGTTAGGTGGCCACCACAATAGTCTAGACAAGTAAACACAGCGGCTCCTATTGGTGTGGCAGCAAGGGAAGTGGAGAGAATGTGCTACACTTTCGGTATTCTTGAAGGTGGAGTTGACTGAATTTGCTGATAGTGGGATGCCAAGTAAACCGTCTAGAGTTTGAGGGAGAGTCGTACGAAATTACAGATGGCCAAGGCAGTCGCCTTGGGAGTACATTGAGAGTGAGTAGAGCACTGAACCATAGGCACTTTGACATTTAGAGGTCGGGAAGAGCAGAGGACCTGGCAGAGAAAACCAAAAAGCAGCGGCCAGTGAGGCTGGAGGACAGGCCAGAATCCAAGAGATCTCCAAACCCTGGGAAAGAAAGGATGTGATGAAGAAGGAGTTTCAGTCGGATCTACTGTCCGAATTCTTCTGGGAGGTCAAATAGGATAGGACAGGTGGAGACCACTGGATTTCACAACAGAGTCTATTATTAGTGACCTTCGGAGGAGCAGATGCATCAGAGTGGCTGGCACAACAATCCAGAGAAGATGGGCTGAGGAGCAAAAGAGCGGGTAAAAAGAAGAAAAAAATGTGGCAGTAACTGGAGGACGAGGTGGGTGCCGGGCAGGTATTTGTTTTTGAGGCCAGGAGATATTAGCATATTGATGCCGAGGGGGGTGTCTGTGAGAGAGAAGGAAGAAGGTCTGAGAAGAAATGGGAGGGTAATTTTGGAAAGAATGGTTTAGAGCAGCAGAGGGGGATTGCTGAGTAGGGCCTAGCATGTTTGAGATTTATGACCATGATGTTAAAACGATACCAGTCATCCTGGCGGGTTTTCTGATTCGATGTTTGGGTACAGGTGTAGGGTAAGAAGACAGTGGAATTTAAACAGGGATAGAGCTTTGCCAGTAAAGACCAAGGGGAGCTATGGAGTCAGGGTGCTTTCACATATTCCAAGCTGGTTAAGGAGGGGAGTAAAGATATAAGGGAGGTGATGGATGGACAGTGGGAAAGTGCTCTAGCCGCTGCATTGCAGGTCTCGGTAAGATGGAAGAATTGCTGAGGTGTGGCACCAGAGCTGGTGAGCTAAACATGGAGTGCTTGAAAGATTTCAGAGTGGTGCAGTTTTTATGATGAGAAGAAAGCCAAGGAAATAACCATGGGAGTGATGGTTGAGGATAATTGAAGGAAAAAGCTTTGGAGGTGAAGAAGTCAAAAACCAACAGCATAACAAATGGCTCAAAAGCCATTTAAGATGGAATGTGAGTGAAATGATGAGAAAATGTGGCCACTTCAAAACATCTATCATTCAGGTACTTTAAGTAGACACATGCTCAGAGATGGCTTATTATCAGACTGAAGTTTGGTTACAGGATTAGGATAGAGCTTTTAAAGAGGTTAGAATGGTCAAGTGCATTTCTATCTAAAGAAAAAAAAACAGACCTTAACTATAATACAATGGCAGGTTTTACGACCATATGGTTTAACCTAACTGTGTTGTGAGGCTCTCCAGAAAGCATGACAGATGGCTAGGAG